TATTGATTTCATTTTGAAAATAAACAAAGTATAGAGCAAAAATTTGCATTCATAAGATTGAAGCAATAAAGCTTTCAATTTCCCATTTCAAATTTAATTATGCAAATTTTACAACATGATATGTGCAGTTACTCACATCATGAGCAACAAAAGGTAATTCCCACTGGCCTTGTGGTAATAAGCCTTTTCGATTGCTAATATTATGCGATTTACAATTATAGTTATAATATAAATAAGAAAGCGATCTCTTAGTGTCATCTGTTGGTGAAGAATGTATGGTAAAACGTTCATAGAAAATTATCTGAAAAATATGATCAACTAAAATTATGATAAATAGTAAAATAATAAAGTAATACTACATGCAGTTAAAAACGATAAGTTTGATTATTATAATCTTAATAATGCAATTTTTATATAACAGTAAATTCATAAAAATAGAATAACTCCAAGATTTAAAAAAGCAGTGTGTCAAAGAAAAAACATTCTTCATTGGATTTTATTTGTTCAAAGCTATAATAATTATTGGTTCACTAATTCCAGGTTACAACTGTTTTGTATTTCAAGTTCATAGCTGCAAAAAATGATTAGTCTTACTGTACATAAAAAATAAGGTATAAATTATTAAAGTAATTTTAAAAAAGATTGTGCAAGAGAGAAACGATTTAAATTATTATGTACATTTTCGGGATTTTTAGCTCACTGATTACATACATTGATAAAGTATTACAATAAATCACACTGAAAAAAAAATCATCTCAAATCTAGATTCAGTCAAATTAGGTACCATAAATGCGAATGGATGATTTTGCTTCCTTTAAATGAAATTTAAGTCAATGGGTTTTGCAATTTACAAAAATTCGAGCTTAAATTTGAACTTAAAAAGATTCCAACTGTGAATAAAAATTAAACTTACGTGTATAAAATTATCGTCCATGTGAGCATTATAAGCAAGTTTTTCAAGTTCAATACAGTCAGTGTTTATCACATTTTCTGCATACGTGTTTAATACTTTGCCGTCTACGTCAATAACAAACGTAACCAATACAAAATGCTTACGTTTAGTATTATAAAATAAAGTAGGTAAATACGTAGTTTGACACTGCTCGATAGCAAACATACAATAACACAACCATCGACGATGACGGAATGAACGATCGTACCTGAAATTTGCAGCAAAAATTAGTCTAAAATTGAAAAAAAAACTGAAATAATAGACTAGACTGAAATTAAGAATACAAACTAAAATTCATTTGCAGACAGATTTTATACACTAAAAAACAATTATACAAAATAAGATCAATTATGGAAAAACATAATCATTCTTCGCTGCGTAAAGTGAGTAGAGTATCGAAATTTAAGAATGAAATAAAAAATGTTCTTACCACACTAAGACATTTTTGGTACCATTTCTTAGGTCAATTCGAATAGTTGCATCAACCCTTGGATCAAATAAGTATGCAAATTGACCTGCATCATCTACGGCAAATGCATTTACCGCCCCAAAAACTCCTTCAATTTCCAAACGTTCCATTATTGTTTTCGAAAATTTGAAGGTACAAATGAAAAGATTCAGAAGGCAACAGTGAGTCACCAAAGTCAACAAGACATGAACAAATAACTTCAGGTAGTAATAATAGTGAAGGTCACAACAAGTAAAGTCACTGTGAATAGGCAAATTTATTTAATAGTAAGAAGGGTCACAGAGAATGTCAGTCTGAAAAGTAAACAATGAGCCTTCAATCTGCAATTGTCACATTTTAGGAGACAAAGTTTGAGTTACTCAAAATCAGTAAAACATAAATTGACTTTAATTACTTTTTGACCGATGACTTGGAATTATATTTCGAATTGCAATTTGCACTTGAAGCACTATAAGAAAATGTTGGTTAAACAAAACGTCCTGATAACACTGTTATCAGTATCTGATATTAAAACGATAGATATAAAAGACACGTCATGGCTGTGAAGCAAAAAAGTATGATCAATAGTCCATTATCGATTGATCTCGAAAAAAAATTTCGCACAATTTTTAAAAATTTCAGAATTCAAAATTTCAATACAATATGTAAGTTTTAAATTTTGGTCTGAAGAAAATTATTATACGACTGATATTGTACTAAAGTTTTTTTAATTTGCAATTCAGATTTAGAAGTAGAATTGATGAAATGCAGAAGACATGAAATTTTAATTAACACTTTTAATTGCCAAGTTTTTTGAAAACAATCTTTAAGTAATCGCAGAATGATTTCTTTATCAGAGCACGCTTCAAAATTAATGTTATAAAGATAGGTTGAAAGGTGAAAAGGTTAACTTCAAAAGCTTAGCATGGTTAGTTTCACCTCAAGACCGGTCAGAGTTGAGGTGAAACAAGACAGATCAGTGTTGAGGTCAATGCTACCCCACAAAGATGAGAAAGAGATAAACACAATAAATTGGTAGGGGGGAGAAGAGGTCAGTATGACAGATAAAAGGTTGTGAAGAACTGAGAAGGTCATGACTTAGCACTGAGAGCATTGATCGCGACAATTAGCATAATGCGCGATTGCTCATCAAGGACAGACGATACGCAAACCATCTTCAAATCGAATACATACAAGAATAGTTTACACACTTTCGTGTGACTCATTGCCGAAGCTGTTATCGATGTATATGTGTGCAAATTTGATAGCTTGTTTAGACCAAGCATGATTTGTACTTGGTTTGAGGTTCAATCACTACAAAAGGAATACAGATTATTTCAGTTCACAAACAGGTCATACTGGGTCGCACATTCCAGTGAAACAAATTTCGAACCATAAAATTATGCATTCATATTTTCATGAATTATCAATTATGAACGAAAATGGTAGGTTAAATTGTATAGATCATTTGCAGTTTGAGAGACTTCTACTTCTATTTACCTTAATTTAAGTTTAACAAAAGTAACTCTAAGGTAAAACAAAGCCATCTTAATATAAAAATTTGATTGGTTGCAGATAAAAGCAGGATGTGATGACTTCTTGGTCTAAATGTCAAATGTCAAAAATGCTTTTAATGCAAAAATAGCGCTAATATAATATTTGCTACTTTTTTGCTTCCACTTATTCTAGTTCAAACATATTAATTAATATTATGTAATTTATTGGATATCCAATATTATTTGTCTATTCACTAATTTGCATTTTTTTTGCTGTTTTGATATAAATTTCGTATTAGCGCTTAAAATTTCTTTTTCAAATTTTTATGAAAATTCAAAAATTGCCGTTTGAGAAATTATTTTTTCACTTTTTTCAATTAATATGTTTTTCATCAATTAATCAATCGAATTTATTATTAATTTGCAAATATTTATTTCACAGATATCAACAGAATGAGTTAATGTTTTCATTATATGCATATCAAATATTGAATTTACAGTTCTGCTTCATTACTAATAATTCTTTTCGTTGATTATCTACCGTACTCTAATTAATTTATGTTTGCAAGTTTTTTTTGCGAAAACGTTTATTTTTATTTTTTTGATTTCTTTTGAAAAATGCACCATTAATCAAAATTTGCTTGACAAACTCCTTCACAAGTGTTATTAATTAACAGCCAATTTATCAAATGCACAAATCAAAATGCACAGTAATTAATCCCTCAGTAAAGTAATGACAGTTTTCTGAGGAGAGCGACAAATTTGAAAATGTCATAAAAAATTTCACTATTTGAAACTAAGTATTAAATAGAATAAATAACAAAAATCAGTAAAAATCAGAAAAACTGTCCCTCCGATAACAGAACAACAAAAAAAATATTTGATTAAAGCACCGAATACTTACTTGTTTTTAGCTTCTTTTTTAAATAAATTATGTACAATTTCTGTACTTGCCCGAGTTCAGCAAAGCTTACTGTAAGATACTATAAAACAGACTTACTAGTCATTATTCTAAATTGAAAAGATATTTTCAACAATTCAACTGAGTCAGCACGAATACTGTACAAATAATTGAATTTTAAATTTGCAAAAAATGAAAATTTAGCAAGTTTCTGAATAATCGTTTGCTTTATAAGAACATATTTTACGATATATCCCAACTGCATTCACACCTTTCCACGTGGTTCTCTAAAAATAGCATTGCAATTACTTTTCAACAACGTCAGTTAACGTAAACTTTTCATAATCAATTGAAAATTACGATCACTTATTATTCAGCAAAAATAGAAAAAGTGTGCATGTCATGCAACTTTTGATTGTACTGAATAGATATTTAAGTAATGAGCATAATTTTGGTAATGAGATCACTGTTTTGATTCGTTTAGCATTTTGATCAAATTATATATGTGTATTTATATATTTATATCAGAATGCTGAAAAAATAATGTAATTATTGATTTTCTGTTTGTAAAATACCTGTTTTTAAATT